TGAAGCACCTGTCATACCAGGCTCTGAGGCCAGGACCTGTGAACTGAACAGAACAAGGGCTGTGGTCCTGAGCTCTTGAAGTAGAATTGTTAGTCACAAACAAGCAAACAATAAAAATCTTCTGACCAAAAATCAGTAAAAATGAAAAAGCAAAAATACCCACACTCATTTTTGTTAATTATAAAATTCCTTCAAACATTCCTAATGACTAATGCTAGTTTTAGCTTTCCTTAGCCTAACACTTACATTTTAGATATTTCTGTATTTTATTTACAGGGTGGAATGAGAAGGGGTTGGGATCTTAACAACCTGCCTGTTTTACCATGATTTTGGGTGGAGAGAGCCCTCCATAACCTGTTGTCCCAGAAAACTGAGCTGTTCTGGGTGCAGTCAGGCTCACTGAATTCATCCCAAGTGAGTTGTCCGCTCAGGTTTTTTCTCAGAGGAGGTAGGATTGGCGTGAGGAAATCCAAGTTTCAATTATGATTTTATTATTTTGTTTGTATTTTCTTAGTCCTACTTAGCCTCCTTGCAGTTTGTTTATCCATAAAATGGTAATAATAATAATAATACTGACCTCACAATATTGATATAAAGGCAAGGTAAGACATGTCAGTTAAAGTAACTGGTAGTCAGAGAAAGCAGTTGACTGTGAGTCTTGGATGTAGACATCTTCTAGCAGGTTTATTTTGTCAATAAAAACGGGAGGGTGGTGGTGGGGGAGTATTAGTGGGAATACAGAACACAGTAACATGCCACGCCCATCACATTTCCCTCCTTGGGACGAAATACCCGAGATAAATACCTGACACAGGAAAAGTTTGTTCCGACTCATGGTTTCAGAGGGCCCAGTGCGCAGTCTGTCATCCCTGTTGCTCTGAGCCTGTGAGGCACAGCAACTTGTGGTAGAGGTTGGGGCAGAGATGAGAAAAGTGCAAGAGAGACAGGAAGGGGCCAGAGTCCCTGGCATTCTCCAGGGATTTAGCCTGCAAGGAACTGATCCTCATTTCCATTTGTGAGGCTGCCCTCCTGAAGGTCACACCACCTCCCTTAGTGTCACAGGCTGAGAGCTAGGCTTTCAGCAGGTGGGCCTTTCTTTGTGTGGGTATTTCTGTATCTAAACTGCAGCATGTATATGAAAATAATTTATTTCTGAAAATAATTTATTATTTTGTTGTTCCAAGCAGTGTAAATAAGGCTCATACCCATGGTTTTTTACATGAACATGCAGATTTATTGACATATCTGTTTTGTGTAAGTTACCTTACTAATTTTTATGTTGAAAATGTCTTTTCATATTTAATCATTCTTAACCCAGTATATTTTATAGGCCATGAGACTTCTCTTTTAGCTCCTTCTGTGTTCTCTCTTGCATCATCATGGGGTGTGAGGCAAGAGGAGAGTTTATGTCATTGTATTACATACCCATTTACATTTTTTATGACCATATTTAAATACCATCTTTCTCTTATGCTGTGAATTCTTTTCACCCATTTTTATTGTTTTTATAGACACAACTGCAAAAGACTTTATGAATTGCTACATGTGTGCTAAAGAATAACAATAGTTTTTAAACTTAGTACAGAATGTGATTAATTTTTATAGAAACACTATGTACCTGCCAAATGGGTACTTTGAAAATGAAATTGTTTTTGATTGTGTGAAACTGCTTGAAAATGTGATTCTCCAAATCTTCCTTCCCCTTATGGCTAGAAAACAGTGATATGGAAATTAATTATGACTATGCACTTGAGATTGGTTCTTCTCTTTTTAAAATCCAACTTGAGAAAAAAAATAGTTTCTTTGGGCCAGGAACAATCATAAGACTTTATATACCCTGAGAGGAACAGGGCTCACTAATGGTAGCTTTAACTGGATCACCATCTGCTCAAGAAGTAACATCCCGGGTGACATTGTTCTGCAGATCCCCTACTCACTGTAGTATAATGAATTCACATCATAGGTCAGGACTCTAACCAGAGAGCACTGATTTATTCTGACAATGTGTCTTATTGTGTGCCAGTTGCAAAATGTGCACAATAGAACGTTGTTAGGTGCTTGTTGTGTAACAGCTTTCTGGGTTGCCTAAATCTACACACACACATTTCTGATTCCCACATATAATCTGGTTTGTAATCTCTTTTGGCTTTGGCTGGTTCTTCTTTGATTTGGATGACAAGTTTCTGGAAAAAGTTGGTTAAACTGAGTTTCCAAAACAAAGTGGATCAGCTATTTGGTTGGATAGGTAAGGGTTCAGAGGGAAAATTGAATATTCTTTTCCTGTTTTTCTGTGACAGAGATGTAAACTGACTGATTTGCTTGATGCAGGGTGTTTTAAAGCAGGGGCTTAGAGAGGGGCAAATTGTCAGGGTCCCCCTCTGGCAGCTCAAGCTTGTATGTGCTTTTCTGACCCTCAGGTTCAGAGTGGGGCACATCCTGTGAAGATGGCTGTGTTGTTTTGAGCAGAGGTCTTCACTTGTTAGCATGCTTCCGAACCACTTGGAAGGTTTGCAAAAACCCACTACGGTGCTCCTGTGCTCCTGAGCTACTGTGCTCCACACCCAGAGTTCTACAGAAGGGGTCTGGGCTTAGCCTCAGGAACTTGCAGGTCTCATCCATGGTGCAGAAGGGGTGAGGTGCTGCTGGCCCAGGGACTGCACTTTGGTAACCTTGGATTTAGAGCCCCCAGAGCTTTTGTTTCTGGTTCAAGATGTTGGAAACGGCATGGGAAGCATGATAGGGAAGAAGCTGGGAAGAGTTTGAAGGTTGCAGATCATCTTGCTTAGTTCCTGGGACAACTGACCTCCAGGCTTATACAGTGTACGGTTTACAGAGTGACGTGTTAGAGAAGCTGTTAGTATTAATTACTTTTTTAATGGCAACCAGAGGCAGTTTAGGGGGGACAATAGATTTGATTGTTCATGAATACCAGCCTTTTCTTTCTTATCTGGTTCCTACATCTTCCTTCGACCTGTGCCCTCCCATATAGCGTAAATATAGATCACTGTATTATCACTGTCTTTCCAAAATGAGAGAAATAATGAGACTGTATGCAAGGCTTCTGAGAAAAGTCACAGCAGTCAAATTTATCAGTGTAATAAAAACTATACTCATCTGCTTTTTACCAATTCAGGTTTTGCAGCAATTGGGACAATGATTGTGCTGAAATATACCTTTATGGTGTTTATAAAGATTTTCCAAAGCAAATCAATATGTTTAGGCTGTTGCCCAGTTAATTTATTTAATGAAAAACTGCTTTCAAGTTATTTTAATACTGCCATTTACATATAATTGATTTGATAATTAGAAATCAATCTGATCTGTGCATCTACCGCAGTGGATTTAACTTATAAATATATGGTCAAGATCGCTAAGGCTTCACTGCTCTAGGAATAGTATTTCACTTATTCAGACAAAATGTTCACTCACTCCAAATAACAGTTTTTTTTTAATGTGAAGTGCAAAATTCTATCTGTTCATCATTTTCTAGTAGTTTCAATCTCAGCACTGTTTGGAAAAGTTCAAGTTTGTATCTGATGTCTTTTATATTGAATGGACACTGAAAATCTAGTATTTGGTTCAGAGCAGAAGATGTGACCTTCAAAGGGGTTCTTTTAATTTTGCTTATAAAATACTTTTTCAGATGTTTCTTTCCTTTAATAATGCCCTATGCTCAAATTTTCCTAGAATAAAACACCCTACCAGGTAGAGGATTTAAGCGATCTAGGCCATGCTTACTCAGTGACATGCAGCAGAGTGGAAAATAACCTGTCTTCTAGCTCAAGAAAAAGGATTTTTCTGATCTAGTAGTTAAAGGTGATTATATTATTTAAAGAGCTGCTATTACATAGACATTAACCTATTAGGAGTAGACTTTAGTCCTATAAAATTATGTGGTGGAGTTTCTTTCTAAAGGAATTAAAGTCTGTAATCCAAAGAATGATTTGGAAGCCAAGTGAAGCTAGGATTGAAATTCTGTGCTTCTTTTCAACCCTTGTCCCCTTGTTGTGAAGATGAGCCTGAGTTGGAACACTGAGGATTAATAATGAATGCATTGCTCAGCATCCTGCAAGGCTGGGTCAAACACCCTGGCTTTAAAGTTACATTTTTGCTTAGTAAGCTTAGAACTTTCAGGTCCAACTGTCGAACGAAAGTTCAGTATCCTGTTGATTGACACAGCCTACCTGAAAGTGGTCTGTGGCTGTTCTAGATTTCTCTTCTCTCTATCTGTATATAACAGTGTCAAGAGTAACTGCATAGATCTTTAATAAATTTTACCTGGCTAGCAATACTGCTGAGAAGATTAGTTTTTCATGTAGCAATTCCCAGTGAAATTTGGCCTTTGACATGAAGGAGAGGTTTCATGTGCTAAGGAGGAAGAATGGGTGTGCTTATTTTAGATTGGCAAATGGGAATGCAGAGAGAAAAGGGAGCTTTTAAGGCAAAGAACGAGGATTCTGGGTCAGATACCCACTAAAAAGGTCTCTCTTGGTGATCGAAGTGTCCACCAGAGAAAGGAAGGCAGGTAGCTTTTTTGGCTGCTCAGAGAGGGCAATGTTCTGGCCAGCACTGGCAAGGCCGGGGATACAAGTCAAGTCCCACTTCCAGCTCTGCTGGTGATGAGAGAGGAGGTAGTCTCTCCATGCCATTAAAAGAGGAAAAGAAACTTGGTAGATTAGCAGGTAGGAAAGTCAGTGGCATAAAGGAAGCCAAACTGGGAGAAACTTTATTTTTATGCTTATTATTTTAGAAGATTTTTTAAAAGTTTGATTTGTCTTCAAACAAAATCAGGCAATAAAACTTAAAAATATTGGGGCCTTTACTTTTTTCCACAAGTTTGCACTCCAACCTGGATTCTGGGAAACTCTACAGGAGGCTCCTGATATGGTTAAAAGCATTGTTACCATCCCTATTTCCATCCAGTCATGTCTGTGAAGTGTGCAAGTCAAACTGTCTTCTTCAAAGAAGTCCTTACTTAGAGTTCACTTGTGTTTTTCCAGGTAGCCCAGCCATGACCCATAGGAACCTGACTTCCTCCAGTCTGAATGACATTTCTGATAAACCAGAGAAGGACCAGGTAAGCAAAGGATCCTCACCTTTCGCAGTGCAAGGCTTATTGTGTGTCTTGGAGGTGCTGCAAAAGGCTATGGACCATCATGTGTGAGCTGGAGCTTGCACTTTCTGGGAGGGGAGGGAAGCAATGCTCTGGCTGCTCCGGGGTCAGAATGGAATTTGGATCCTGACTCCAGTCTTTGCAGATGCATCCACCTGGGCAGTTTTAATCTTGAAGCTGTAGTTGGCTTGGCTTTGAAATAGGAACAGCCTATTCCTATTTACACATCTTCCTTAGGTTTGTTGTGGAGATTAGATGATGTATTTTATGAACTATAAATGGCTAAAAGAATCCTGGAATTATTTAATTTAGGGGGATGCATCAGGCAAGGGTTGTGATAGTTGTCTCACTCTCTGCTATTTGTCTATTGACACATATAGCCTATTTGAAATGAAGAGCAATCAGCTTTTGAACCTCTGCTTTCTTTGAAAAAAATGTCACATAAACATGGCCTTTTTCCCAGTTGGGTGGGTATCTGGGAACAGATTTTAAGAATATATTATGTTGCCGGGCGTGGTGGCACACATCTGTAATCCCAGCACTCGGGAGGCTGAGGCAGGAGGCTCACTATGAGTTCGAGACCAGCCTGGGCTACATAGTGAGTTCCAGGTCAGTCTCAACTACATAGTGAGACCCTGTCTCAAAAAAACAAACTAACTAACAACAACAGAAAAGAATATATTATGTCGATATTATAAAAGGATGCTTCCTGATTTTAAAAAACTCAGTGTCAAATAAATGAAAGTAGCATTTATTTAAAAATGATTTTAAAAAACAATGGCAATCATAGTCTGTTTCCTCAGGGTAGTATTCTGTGTTGGAAAGAGCAAAGAACATGAAAGCAAGAAAGTCTGGTACAGCTCAGTTTAGAAAATCCAGTACCTGATCCTGGCTCTTATAATTATTTTTTTCTTTTTTGATGTAACAGAAGAATGTGATTCTTATTGCTTCATGCTTGACATGTTAATTGTGTGTCATTTGTGTGACCTTATTCTTTCCCTCTCTTTCCTAAGAGATGGCTTTGAAGATCCCTCTTTTCATACTTTGCTGTTTTTTTCTAAAAAAAGCAATATTTATGACAGCGTTCCTCTTTAACTGGCAGTACTTGTAGTAATGACAGAAGTTTATAAGCCGTGGTAAATTCTAAAAAGTACAGGAAAGGTGAAATTACATTCTCTCTTGGGAAATGGCCTTTGGATTCTTTCTACCTTCTCCTTCTTAACCAGCACTGTGTTGATAAGGTCTTCATCAGCTTTGGATTGCTATAAGAACCTTTAGAACTAATCCCTTGTCCCTGTTTTCACTCCATTCAGCACACATTTCATATTATTACCCTTATTTTTCTACTCTGGATTAGAAACTTACAATGGCTTCCTATCAAGATAAATTCAGAATTTCCTGCCTGTCTTTTAAGATCCTCTGAAATGTGGTGTTCTTCCTGGATTTATCTTTGTTCTTTAGAAGAGGCCTCAGTTTTGATTGGACCTAGTATCTTTCCTCCATCCTTATGCTGCGATTAATTCTTGAGTCTTTCAAGTGCTGACAAGAATTCCTCTTCTCCAAGGGAGAGAATCATTTAAATTTTAGGCACACTGGTGGGTACACAGCTGTCACAGAAGAGGGAGAATGGGGGCTGTTAGAATTTTTTCAGAGCTATTGTATACATGTTGGCTTTATCCTGTATTTACCAAGCAATGTTGATTGTTTGTGTTGTTTGCTAGGGATCCTGAAGTTAGGCAAGGCAATGCACTGATTATGGTTAGGCTTATCTGGTTGATGGGCTTTTGAGGAAGCATTCTTTTATTAGGGATACCCCTCCTCTAGTCAGAATTAGCCAACAGGTGGTAAATGCTGACTGAAATTTCTTACCTTCTTTGATTTCTTCTTCATGTCTGGGCACATGAAGAAATTGTGTGAGGATTTAAGATGCAAATTACCTAAGATTTGGATTCTTAAAGTAGAAGAAATATGTTAGTACCTCATGATTATTGTAAAATGTGTAACTGGATCCTTGAATCCAGAATCTCCACTGCCCATCCCTAGTCTCTTGTGGACATCAAGGCTCATGTTGAGAGGGAGACAGAAGATTTAAATCTGGAGTTTTGTTCTGTTTTCAGAGCCAGCAAATGAGGATTAATGACTCTACCATTGTAAGAACTTCTCTCTCTCTCTAAATTGTATCTCTTACAGTAGCCAATGAGTTCTTCAAAAAGGAAGAAGAAACTGTTTTTCTTCTCCCACCCAAGAGCTTGAAGAGGAGCTTTCTAACTGATCCATCATCTCTTCTACAAGCAATGGTAGAGGACAAATTCAGGCTTATTTCCAGTTTCTATAACTACTCCTTCAGTAACTCCAAGTTCTGTGTCTTCTTAGGACAAGGGAAAAAAGCAGATTTGCAAAGGAGCTGAAGTAATGGCAAATGCAGGCATTTTTTTTTTTTTTTAAAACAAACCAACCTGTTTTAACACAGTGAACCTGGGTTTTTTTTTTTTTTTTTTAACCTGTTTTTCCTGTTTGGGTAGAAAAAAAAAAAGGTTGCCAGGCTTAAAGTTGTTTTGAAAAAGCTTTTATAATTAATTAGCCAATGTCCTGGAAGTGATCTTGGCAGAAAAGTGAAACCTGTCCAGTATGCTTGTCCAAGTTGGCCCAAGACCTTCCATCCAATTGAGACTAAAATTCCTGATTGACAGATTATTCTGCCCAGATACAATCTGAGCACTTATGATGCTGCCTGGGAACTTCCTGGAGCTACACAACCTCCTAGTAGCACAAAAGATGGGTTTAAAGTTGAACAGAATGGCTCTTTCTGACAGCTACATAGTGACAAAATTTGAGGGCTTTTTTCTAAGATTCTGTTTTGGGAAAACAGAAGAAACAAAGCTGTGGACTGCATTTTTAATTTCAACCTCTTCCAAGCCTATGTGCTAACGATTTTAGAAGCAGCTGCCCAGTGGAGAAAAAGCTCAAAATAGTTAGCAGCAGCAGAATATAGCCAAAATTTAGACAGTTCGATGTTTCAACTATTCCAACTTGGATGTTATATTTATTAAGCAGAAAAACACCTGTGGGAAGTAGATTAAAAAATACATGTGGAGCTCATCTAGTTGTGAATCTACTACATAAATAATCTCCTGTATTGTGTTTCTATGGAGTTTTCTTTTTAATGTCTGTTATCTTGATTATTAGACCGATTTGCTTTTCTGTCTCCCTTTATTTCTTTCCTGTTCTTTTCAAAATTTACACACGTAAGATGTATGCTCATCAGATGCAAAGTCTTGAGTTCCAGTTCTCATATGGGTATTGAATTAGCTGAGACAAGAGTTTCCCCATCATTCTGCTTCTTAGCTTTTACTCTTGTAGAGGCACTGTGCTTAGTTGTACAGTAACTTCACAAGGGTTTTTTCCAGGTTTATCAGAAAGGCAATAACATCTCACAATTACACGTTCAGCTTTCAGGGTCACCTGTGGGTTGCAGAAGATGCTGTAGGTTCTGCGTCAGAAACACCTTGCATATTTGCCGGGAGACATACCGGCTCCCACAACATTATTATTGCTTATCGGGTTTTCACATCCGTGATGCTCATTATTTAACCATCTTCCCTGAGAATTTATCCCATAGGTCTGCTGATTGAATCTGGCCTAAGGTTAATTTGTAAAGGGACTGCAATAAAAAGAAATCTAGAAGGAACCCTTCTGAATGACTCAGCCAATCCTCTTCGTGCACGTGGGTGGGACAGGAGCAGTTAACTGTGTCCATCTGCGATGGCGCTCGTGGTTTGAAGGTGTATTTCCACCGCAGGGCTACCGCACAGCTTCCCTATTAGCTACTTCATGCTTACAGTGATGGGAAGTACCAGAGCAACTCACCTCCCACTCTTTCCAGGGTTCAGCCACACTGAACTGTGTGCGGTTTTACTTCACCCTTGGGGGAGGGGCAGCGGCTAAGAAATGCTCATATTTTCTGAGGATGTGATACTTGTCCTTAGCGTATTTTCAGGGACCAGTGAGACACGACTGTGTCAGGAGAGCTCCAAATGGAGACCTGGGAACAAGCATGCTGTGAGGCGGGAGTTGCAGCTTTACATGTCCTTGGTTGCCACTCAGGGCTCAGCAGCCACATCTTTCCGCTGTGTGTTTGTGGGGGAATTTGTGTGGCCAAGTGATGACCACCCCGAGATCCCTCCCAACCCGGACCGGCTTGGGCTTAGATGACCAGCACATCTGATGTTTATCTTCACCACTTTCCTCTCTGCTAGAGATTTGTCTGAACACAGCTCCCTTTCCTCACCCTGTGCCCTCTCCCCTAACAGCTGGTCATTGGTAGTGCTGTTGGGGAAGCATTGCTGACTTCAAGAATGTGTTTGTTTTTGAATTGGGATAATTCTGTGCCTGCTTTAAAGTGAAGCTGACAAACTTGTGCGACATCCACTAATAGCTGCCTCTTCCTTTCACATAGGAAGCAGAGTTCTCATATAATCTAGAAGTATGCTTTTAAGGAACTGTGAAGCCACAGTGCCTGTGAACCCGATACTGTGTACTGCTGTGGTTGTAATGCACTGTAATGCATTCATGCTCTGAGATATTCCATTCTGGGCCAGAAAGTACTCTGGGAGGTGAGCTCCAGGGGTGAATAAAGCTGGTACATTTTCGACTCACAGAGTTTTGCTGCTTTGGGTAAGTAAAGAGGATGATTTTGTATAGTAAATGCTATACTGACAATAAGGCAGGGCAATATGAAGAGGTGCAGAAAAACTTTTTCAGGTAGAGGAAGAGTTTCGTAGGCTGAACCCAGAGCGAGAGTAGAGGCCTTGAGGCTAGAACGAGAGTGGTATATTCAGATCCAGAAAAATCACAGAAAGGAGGCCCAGGTGGCTAAGGCAAAGGTAGCAGGTGTGCACCAGTCAGTGAGGTCAGGAAAGCAGTTGAGGGGGTAGGGAGACACTATTTCCAGCTTTTACCTGGAG